TTATATATATATATATATATATATATATTACAGGGTGGTGAATCGGCAAACGGTCCATAGGAAACTCAATGGTAAATTCTAAATTGTTGAATTCCTGCTTCCCTAATTATTTTACACCAAAGTCATGGGAAACTTTGTAGAGGACTCAAATATGTACCGAAAACAACTGTTAAAATTATTCTACGACTTAAACGTATTCCAAAATTTTGCTAAAATATAATACATTTTTCTGTGAAAAAATGTGTATTACGTGTTGCGTTTTGTCATATTATTGTTTCTGATATTTGACAATATTTAAATCAATTATATTATATTTATCTATGATTTAAATGGCCAAAATTTTATGATTTAATGTTTAAAAAAAATTAAGTTGATTAAAAAATGTACTCAGTTGAAGAGAAAAAAGCAATAATAAAAATGTTTTCTTCATGTTTTATTATAATATTTGTTATAGTTTTATGTTTAGAAATAATCATATATTATTATTAGGAATAAAGATCACAGTAACAGTATATTGGAATTCATTGAATAGTTGTATAACTTAACATGGAATTAAATTTTAGTGAATTAGAATACCTATCTTACGTTAAATAAAGATCCGGTAGGCAGGAAAAGGTTCGCGCAGTTATGCGATTTTTCGTCAACTGAGTACATTTCATTATATTGATCGATTTGTAAACAATATTATTTATTGTTCACAAAGTAATAATGTTCAGTAGTAGTAGTATTTAGTAAAATTCATTGTTTATAATTTAATCATAAAATAAAAAGATTGACAATTCAAATTGTCAAACATCTGACATTAATAATGATAAAACAAACACATCCTAATATATATTCTTGCATTACGTGTGGCCTAACTTTTAGGGGTGGTCTGAAAAATGTATCACATTCTTTTAAAATTTTGAAGTACAGTTGATTTGTAGAACGGTTTTAACATGTGTTTTTAATTCAGATTTTAGTCCTCTACAAATAGTTTTTTATGACTTTTGATCTAAAATAATTAGGGAAGCAGCAATTCAACAATTTAAAATTTCTCATTGAGTTCCTATGGTCCGTTTGACGATTCACCACCCGGTATATATATATATTATATATAATATATATATATATATATATATATATAATGTAAAACAACTGTAAATTTATAACATTTAAAGGGTTTTGACCCATATATTTGGTGGCTCATAGCATGTATACCCTGTTTACATTGATGATGGATTTAACAATCCGAAAACGTTCTGTAATGTAATTGTGATAGCCCGTTTGGGCATTTTATTATATACCTTTTATAAAGGATTTGAAATAAATTTTTTGTGGTATATGGTATACAGCCAGCTACAGGAACTTAGTTTCCTAGTGGAAATTTATTTTTGTCTCCGGAATACGTGATTTAATTTATGACAAACCTTTTTGAAACACTCTTTATAATGTAGCGAACGATCAAAAGGTATATATACTATAAAGGTATAGATAGAAAAGCAAGAAACCCAAAGTTGTTAAACGCAAAACGTAATGTAAAGCACATATCAAACTGGAACCTGTTATAAAAAAATCAAAAACTTCTGCTGTACAAATACCAAGTGCAGTACTCACAAAATTCTTAAAACTAGTGGAACAGTACGCAAAATGAGGGCAAATGTATTTACATGGATTGCAGAAGAACATATAGATTTTTCATGGCTGTAAAGATATGCAGTATTATTGTTTTTTAAAATCATTCGTAGAAATATTAATCATGGAATTCAGATCTGAATTTTTACCGTACAAATTATGTTTAAAATAAAAATTTATGATTATTAATGAAACTAATTTATTTATCATAAATGAACAAACCACAATACTTTTAGTTATTTCGATACTAAATGTTCACAAACTCTTGCGATAAAAACTTTCAAATTTTAAAAATAAATTTGACTCGAAATTATTTGCTGGAAGTTGTAGATCTTTCTAGAATTATTTCTAATACTTTTTAAAGTATTAGAATTAATATTTATAATATTAACATAGGAAGCCGTTTACACAATAAAATGTATTTTAAAGAAGACTAACAAACTACTGCCAAAACTTTAATCAATAAATCGGCTATCTTTTGATTTTGATGGTAAATATATTAACAATATGTGAACTGTGGTTTGTTAATCTAAGAAAATATCCAACTGAAACCAGATTAGAACAATTTAGAGCTAACAAAACAACTAAAACTTTTGTTACTTCAAATTTTATTTTTTTTACACGCATGGGAAACATTTTAGGCAACATCAAACTTATTTAACGGTAATTTTGATACTCATAAGAGCCATCGAAAAAAAAAAAATCATATTTGACTTCGAACGATCTTGCTATGAATTTTATTACATGACTGACAAATATCTCTCCTATATATGTTACAGAAGTAATCAAAAGTTGAAGACTTATTCCAAGGCCTGCTTTAAATGAGCCTTACTAGTAGTTACTTAGCCTGAGCTACATAACTACTAACAAAGTTAATAGCCCAGGCTGTGGGGGAAAAAAGGGGTAATTTTACACTGTAATCCAGGAATTTATGTAATGTGGCTTAGGTTATAAAGGGCAATCTCAGGAGCAATCCCCCAGTTCATTCAACAAAAAATGTTTGTGAAAAAGACAGCAAATATTTGATTTCACGCAAACAGCGCCTTTGTATCTGTTGATACGTATTTCGACCTAATAGGTCTCATCAGAACAGTTATTCAAAGGTGTTCTCAACGTGAAAGATCAATATTTTCTGTCTTTTAAGAAGCAACACTAAAATGGCTTCAATACGGACGCAATAGCGACATCTGACAATAAAACCGTAAAATAGTTTCGAAACACAATTCAGGTTTTGTTATTGTTTATTTATGAGCGATTATAGGTGCAAAATATGTATTTTTTGAGTTTTTTTTTTCATTTTTGAAGTTACACTTCTATACGCACGGTTGGCGTTGGAAATTTGCATGGGAGTGAATTAAATGCTCCCCATCAACCTCTACGTTACCAAAATGTTTTCAATATTCCACGGAACAACCTATGGTATTCACAACCCATTGGATAGATACATGGGACTATTAAATGTTCTCTATTTTTCTATTTTGATATATTCGATATAAATTTAACTCAGTCAAAAAGACCTCTTGCTGTGTGATATATTTCTTGGGATTGTTGAATTTTGTTGTTGTTATATTTTGTTTGTTTTTCTTAGTATGTAAGATTAGTCTCTTTTTTCAACATTTTGATAATGGTATAAGTAATTTCAAGTTTTGAATCCTAACAAATACATAAATTATCTAGTATGAGGCAAAACCGGAACTGGTCCGTAAGTAGTACCTGGACCAAGCATCATCATTCACAGCTTATGTGTGAGCGAGCAAAAACCAAATTAGTAAGTGCCAAATGATAAAATTGAGAGTTCACAAAATTACATGAAAACTTGGATTCATTTGAAATATACTACATAACATAGAAGAAAATGGTGTCAGAACCTTTTTTAATTCATCTATCGCACTTTTATATATAAAAGTCTTCTTTTATAAAGAGGAATGTTTTGTTTGTTTAACATAGTTCAATAAATTATTATGTATGACATCACCTATAATGTTTCTAGTCCATGTTTGAAAGATCCCACTGTATTAAGACAGTCACACCACAGCCATGCATTTATAGTGTTTCCAGCTACCTTATCAGCCCAATTTATCAAATAAATACTGAAATGCAAGTGAGTCAATAGCCAATAAAACTAGTATTATCAGAATAGTATGTGATATGATGTAGGAAGTACCTTTTTTTGACGTTTAGGCCTTAGGAAACCGTTTTAAAAATATAGACCTGAAATCCGAAACATTAAATTTAATTACCATTAAAAGTAAAATTCACAAAAAAATAGCTCTTGGAACGGTATAAATTATGGTAAAAAAAAAGAGAGAGGAACTTGGGGAGTGCCAAAATAAGTGAATACTTTTTATAGCGTGTTATTGGTCTATATAAGTTAGTAAAATTTTGCAGGTATATAAAAAGCACAATGAAGAAAATTGTAACAACCAAAACAACATAAGTTTCTGTTCATTACCTAATTTAGATTTATCTAGGTAGATTCCTAGATTACTCGTCTCCTAGGGAGACAAATTGTTGATGCATGGGAATAATGTTGGTAAAATCGATTTTTATCCCCATTTTATTTTATTTATTACGTATGTGATAAGTTGTTGCAAGATGAATATGAACTGATAGGCCTCCAAGACAAACTTTAAATTCTCTTATTTGGCAAAAGTCAATTAGAAAAGATAGAAAAAACATATCTAACATAAGTTATTAACATACACTTTTAGTCGATTGGTCATATATCACAAAGTCAATGTTTGGGTAGGGATTGTGGAAAATAACTTAATAGGGTCAGTATTTCTTGCAAACAATTAAAATTGTGAAAACTGTTTCCAGCTCTTACAAAATTTATTGCCTGAGTACTTAAAATGGCATTATAATGACGAAGTAATGGAATATATTTTCGGTCAAGTACCCTAACTCTGGATTGGAAGAGGTATTGATACACATGTGCCTTGGTTCTAAGCATTTGGAAGTGGTTGTGTATGTACAAAAACTGAGGAATAGAATCAATGTGAAGTAATTTTCTATATAAAAAAGGATTCTAATGAATGATGGAGGTAAATACATAAAAAATAATAGATATATAGAAATCAACATGAATCAGTGAATATGTATGTGTTTTCAGAAGATATTTACACATTTCAGAAAAATCACAGTTAAAAGGTGACAAAAAGTGAAAAAGATAAATACTACTATCACACTAACTAACTACACATGTAAATGTTTGATGTTGATGTAGATAATGAGTATTTTTATTGGCATTATAATTTTAAAATTGTTACCTTCGTACAAATATTAAAAGTGATATTTTTTGCAACAAAGTCTAAACCATCTGAACTGTTAGATGTATATATGCATGCAGTTAGTATATGAATGATGAAAATATTAACCTTATTAACCTTTCTCCAGTCCTCCTCATCAGGGCTGTAATCATAGTCTTCATCCTCCTCTTCGCTTACCCTTGATGAGACAGCTGAAATAGATCAAAATCAATACATTCAAATATTTTACCTATTTGTTATCATTAGAGACAGTTTTTACAGAAGTTTACTTACAGCGTAGTAAACGAGATTCATCTTGGTCGTCGGCTATTGGCTCATAAAGAACACTCAATTTTGAAGGTTCTGGGGGAGAAGGTACACTATCTTGTTCTTCTATGGATTCCGACATTTCCGGACTGGTTTCTTCAACTTCTTGTTCTTCCTCTTGATCTTCCTCAGGTTTTTGGTCAGGGTCTTCGTTTTCTTGATTCTCGCCTTGATAACCATATAGAGCTAACAACTGCTCCAGGGGCATATTACTCTCCTAAAATACATGAATATAAGTATACTGAAATGTATTTAAAAATAAAACAGCAAGTACAATTCATTGCAAAGTGGAAAAAATATTTTCAAAGTCTAAATAAATATTGTGATACAAGGGATAGTGATGCGCAACCGGAGCACCCTGCTAGATAACCAATGAGGCTCTGACGTCCGAGTGATTGCCGGTATAAGCAATCCCCCACTTACTGACCTATGAAATAAAAACAACGAGAGCGGAAAAGTCTAGCTAAATTAGGAGAAGACTCAAATTTTCCCAGTGTAGCTCCAGAACTTGGCTCATATAAAAGGACTCAGAGCTTAGGAAAGGCTGTAGATAGTATTAAAAAAGTTTTACCAGATAGTCATTCCAAGAAACAAGCTGTTTTGCGGAAACTGATTTTGGAATACACAAATTTGGTATTGACCAAACCTCCTCGTAAATGTACAACCAAACTCTCTGATGAGGTAAAGAAAGCTGTCAAAGATTTTTTTATCAGGGATGATATAAGTTACCAGGCTCCAGGAAGAAGGGATACAAAATCAATTAAGGACCCTCTAACTGTAAAAGGTTTCTTGTCATGTCAGTCAAAGAAGCCTATCAACAACTCATACAAGAAACAGGCTTGCAACAAGTGACAAAGGCCACATTTTATGATCTGTGAACAAAACATGTCCTTTTAGTAAGTGATACACCTCACACGGTATGTGTGTGTAAATACCACGGAAATTTTATCTACCTTTTAGATTCCTTGCATAGTAATAAAGTATTAATCCAGATCTTGTACCAAATGACAAAGAACTATTAAGAAAACTTTTTTGTAGCTTAAACGAAGAAAACTGTATGTTAGAAACTTGTTCCCAATGCAAAAGTTTGGTTGAACATGAACTTGCACATAATAACTGTCAGTGATTATGATGAAGGGAAAAAATTTGTATGGAAAGAATGGGTTGACATTGAAAAAAGACCAAAATAAGTTGAGCACAGCAGTACTGTAAAAGATGTAATTTGTGAAATAAAAACAATTGTCTACATTTAGAGTTCATTGCTATATTGATTTGCAAAGTTAGGAACTCTGCAAATTGATTTTGCAGAAAACTTTTACAGTCTGCACATTGGTCTCATCAACAGGTAACTTTATTTACAGCTTGTGTTTGGACTGGTAATGCAACTTCCTCATACACCATTGTGAGTGATGATTTATCACATCAAAAACTCAGCATTACAGTTGTTCTGTATAGAATAATTGAAGATATTCTCAAGAGGTTCTCTAATCAATCTGGAAAAACTGTCAATATTCTCTGATGGCCCTTCATCTCAATTTAAAAACAAATATACAGATGGACTCTTGTGCTCAATGCAAAAACATTTCAAAATTGACTTTGACTAGTTGTTTTTCGCCACTTCCCATGGAAAAGGCTCTGTTGATGCAATGGAGGGTGCCAACAATTTCAAATCCCTTTGAGTTTTATGAATGTGCTGAAGAAGAAATAAAAGGGACACATATTTTCTTTCTGTCTGAAGATGATGTACAAAATCATGCCAAGGAAATGGAAAAAAATGGCCAGACATAAAGTATATTCCTGATATTCGGCAATGCCACTACTTTATGCCTTATGACTCAACAAGCATACTTGTTGCACGGACTGCAAAATTGTTAATGACTAAACACAATATGTCCAAAGCGAAAGAAGACCTCTACAGGCAATTGGATTTAAAACAGTGGCACCTACCCTAGGAGGATGTCTATTCCTCGTCTGATTCTGATGACGACAAAATGTGTACACCTACTGTACTACCAATTGGTGTAGAGACAGCTGTAGGATCATGGGTTGGAGTGATATATGACAGCCAATGGTATTAAGGTAACTATTTATTTTATTACATATATAATTAGGAATTCAAAACTTCTAAAAAATTGACTTGATGACTTGCACACCACAATATTAAAACAATACCTACTGGTAACTTACCAATTTTTGTATATTTTTGCAGGGATTTTTGAAAATAAATCTGAGAAAGACATAACTGTCTCCTTCATGGCCAGAGTGGGCCAAAAATTCTTTTGGCCATCAAAGCCTGATATCCAAACACTGCATCATGGCAATATAATGTGCAGGATCAATAAGCCACCACACCCAGTATCAAATCGTCATTTTGAAATCAATGGAGTATCTCTATACATTGAGATTTTCAAAAAACTGAATGTTTAGTTTACCTAGCCTACTCTTCATTATGTTTAAAGTGGCATTAAAATTTGAAGTAGTTAGAATTACTTCATTGATAAATTTTCATTAATATTTTAGTGTAACGTTTGATAATTATTCATTAATATTTAAGCTAAGTGAAGGAAAACTTATTATAATAAGTTAAATAAATATATTTCACATTCATCACAGTCTATGTTTTATTTCTTAACAAATAAATGAGGGAGATGTTAAGAATATTTCACATAGGTCACGTATGGAACCAGTAGATGTCCCATACCGAACTGTTTATTTTAATTTATACCATTTTATTTTCAAGTATTGAACAAATAAGCATAACTACAAAAATTGAAGCCTTAGGAATCAAAGTGTATAATTACAGTAGGAAATGTTTAAAAACATCACAGAATTTTTAAGTTGATGTTTAAGTTGCACAGATGTGAGCTAAATGGTGTCTGTACCGAATCATGGATTCAGTTTTACACTGAAACTAGTCAAGTTAAGTCTTTGAAATTAATTGAGCAAAGTAATCTGTTTATTTTTCACCTAAGTGTATTTAATTTATAGCTTTCAATTGATTTGTTAAAAAAATTCAGCAAGTTTTGTTCAACAATGCATAGTCTAAATGTCCCATACAGAACCTGGAATGGCTGCATAGAATTTACACTGCAATTGCAAACCGTTACTAATCATGGAAAGCGTAGGCCAAGATTCGGCAGGAGAGGAGAAATATATTTATACCACAAGGCCTCTCAGGTCGTAAACATGCAAATACCTCGTGAAGAAATCATAAAAATAAAGAAATCTAATTTTAGAATGTGCATATGGAATGTTAGAAGTCTATTTGCGGCTGGAAACCTTGACAACGCAATTCAAGAAATGAAAATAGACCTACTGGGAATCAGCGAAATGAGATGGCCAGAGTCAGGATCATATAAAAAGGACGGAAGTGTAATATATTATTCCGCTAAGAGCACAGAAGACCCGCATCACAAAAATGGTGTAGGTTCACCATTTAAAACTAACATACTTCAAATCTATGCCCCGATTGCAGTTAGAAAATATGACGATAAAGTCGAGAGTTGTATGATCAGATCCAAGACATCTTACAGCAACTTAATAAAAACGAAATTTTATATATTATAGGCGATTTTAATACAAAAATTGGGGAAGGTCGACGAGATCAGACTGTAGGTCCTTATGGTCTAGGACAACCTAACGATCGAGGACAGAGATTGTATGAATTTTGTGAAAAAAACGATATGATCATTGCAAACACCTGGTATAAACTATCCAAGCGACGACTATACACTTGGAAAGCACCATTTGATGATGGCAATAACCCTGAGTTCTCAAGAAATCAAATAGACTATATACTTGTAAAGTATAAGTAAAGTATCAAAAAAGTCACTACATTTCCTGGGGCAGATATTGGATCTGATCATCAACCAATTTGAACAGATATTAAACTAAGGTTAAAACGAATTCAGCGACAAAAACCAAAAACCAATGTACTTAACTTTAACGATATAAACATAAAACATAACATTAAACAAGAATTTAAAAACCAAGTTAATGAAATCTCCACAATCAATGATTATAGAAAAACTTAATCAAGAAAAATAAATAGATGACAGACATCTTGAAATTAATGGAACAACGTTGACTGATAAAATCTAATGAAACAGAATATAGACACATGCAGAGAAGAATAAAAAATGAGATCAAATCAGCCAAAGAAAAATGGATGAGAGAAAGGTGCGACGAAATGGAGGATGCAATATCTAAACACGACTATGTAATGGGCACTAAACTTCATGTCTTACTTTTATGCGTTTTTGTTCATATCTTGAGTCCGATAAAAGCTATTAACATGCGGTTTGCGCCATTTTGTTACGAATTTATTCCAGTTCCATTATAATTTACAATAAATAGGTGTTTCCATTAAACAGTTTGAAGAAAAACAAATTTTAATTTTTTCTATTCGAAAGTACCCTCTACCTATGACAAATAAAACTAAATGCAATTATTTTATAGTAGATGTAAATTAATTGATCCACACTCTTTCTAATGACACCAATTTCGTTAAAATCGGTTGATCCAAACCAAAGTTATAGGTATTTATCCACAAATACTTTCCCACAGCTGCTTTTCTGTAATTTAAAAATAACATCAAATTGGGCAGCTGTACTAGAATCCCAAAAAGGAAGGCCATATCGAAGATGAAACTTGAACAAAGAAAAATATGTTATTTTGGAAGATGCTAAATTGATTTCCTTTGAAACAGATCTTATTGTATAGCATTCTAAGGATGGATTATTGAATTTTATACAGAAAGCCTAGTTTCTAATGATAAATTTTAAGTTAAAAATAAGTTATATCAACAACTTCCAGAATCATATTCATTTTTGCCACTGCATCTTCTCAGACATCACTAAAAGCTATTAATGTATTATCAGCAAAAATATTAATAAACCCACAATCAACAACTAGATCAATATCATTTAAGTAGGATATAAAAAGAGTATATATGAGTCGAAATCAAAAAACAATTTATCCAGATAAAGACATAAAAACTGAAAAATAGTAAAAAATCTTGGATTTGAACATATACAAGATATAACAGGACGAAATAAGACATGCAATGAGCATTATGCGAAATAAAAAAGCTACTGGTGAATAGTAATAAAAATGATAAAGTATGAAGGCCAACTCATAAAAATACTAAAAATTATTTTTAATAAATGTACTGATATTTAAATGGCGAAATAAATATACATTATAAAACTATAGAGCCATTAGCCTGTTATCAGTCTTGTATAAGCTGTTTGTGAAGACAATTACATTGTGACTAACAAACAAACTGGATAGTTATCAGCCTCAGGCATAGGCAGGATTTAGAAAAGGTTATAGCACCATAGATCATGCACAAGCGTCCAAGAGCAAAATAAAAAAGTAGAGGCAGAACTCAAACCAGATGGAATGGTTAGTCATGAATAGATCCAAAAAAACAATGAACAGAAATGAATAGACACGCCTAAGGGACGCTTACATCTGAAAATTGGTGGAATCGCTGTTGATAATTTTCGATAAAGTACCCTTAAAAGACCAAAATTATATGTTAAAAATATCGTCCTTATTTAAAAAATCTAAATATTTATCAAAAAAAAAAAGAGTTTTTACCATAATTGGTTCTCTGGAATCCAATATGAAATAAATTATGTAGTTTCCAGTGTTCTCCAAGGAGTATTAACATAAATAAAAACATAAAAAATTAGGTGTATTAACATAAAAAAAATAAAACTTTACAGTATTAACTTTTAACAATATTATTTAAAACCATAAGTTTTTTTTTTTTTTCGTGACACTAATTTTCTTAAGGTTCTAGATAAATATGGTAAAAAGCAAAGAAATATCTCCATTTTTAAAAATATTATTCGAAATTACACAGAATAAATAATCCTTTAAATCCCGACAGGTTTAATTTTTAAAGTCAATTCAACTTTAAGCGATCTTAAAAACTAATGTGGATAAACCATATCAAAACTAAGAAACGAGAATTAACTCTTAAAACTAGACAAATGGACTAGCTAATCAGAAGAAAATCACAGTTATCAATCATAAGTAAGATAATAAAAGAGATTATGAAGCCTATCTGGACATATCATGTAGAAATATGCTAATATAAAAATGCTACAAACATACCAGTCTAAAATACACCACTCTATGATCAATGCACCATGATATATCACAAATCAAGCCTTACATGAAGATCTCAAAATTTGTCAAACAGGTAATTCAGTCAAGAGATATAAAGCACAATAACTAGAAGAACATACCAACCAACCAACTGGTCAGAAGACTGTACAATCAACAAGTCATAAAACGAAGACATGGGCATCAGCTTCAACAAATTTGGTTAATTCTTCATTGGTTGTATAGTAGATTGTTTTAGATGACTTCTAAATGATTTTTTGAAATTGTTTTCAATTTTCCAGTATATTAGAATGTCTTCATGCTATTTTAAACTAATTAATAGTTTGTAAGACAAATAATGGTTAATACCAATGAAAAACCACAGAATTTACCATGTATATTAAAGAATAAGTTACATTTCCCTACATAACTTTTTCAGCGTTCAGCGGATGATCCTGAAATTTTTTTTTAATTAGCTTATTATATAGATGAGTGTAACCTATGAGTATGAAAGGTGTGCCACTAAGGATACCAGACTTGTAAAACTAATAAGTGTAGCAAACATTTTATCAATTTCAAAATTTTTAAGTTGTCCCTCATATAACTTTTTCAGTGTTTATGATGTACAAATTTTGCAAACAGCATTGTCTTTGTTGTTGAGAAAAAATACAATGTACAATATACTGAAAATGATGAGTTTAAATTAAGTGTTCTACTCACTGGTATAGAAATAACATTGGTATTACTTTGATGTAACAACATTTTAAAATCAATCCAAGTAATTAACACTAAGTAATTAACACTACACACACAGATCAGAAGACATTTCTAAATTTAAGGGTATTTTAACTAGAGCAGCAACACTTGGAATTATTGCTTACAAATAGTATGACTTTTCTATCCACATGATAATAAACTAACCAACAATGATTGGATTGGCATTAAGGTCTCCTTTGTGAAATTATAGCACAAATATACCACACAAATGTAATTGAAAACCTTATGAATTATATCCTGTCACATAATCACTTATCCAAGTGAATAAAGGGACATAAACACTTGTTGTTCAAACTAATAATAATATCAAATCAAATGATTGACTTATTCAAATGTTAATTTTAAAGAGACATATACTACATGTAATTAAGTATGGAAAATAGGTAGATATACATAAACAATTTAATGTAACAGATATACACAAACAACAAATTAAGTAATTAAATAATTGAAAGAACCAGATTAACTAATTAATCTTGTTCTTATGCAAACTAATATTTAAATATATACAAACCATTTTAGCTGAAAAAATGCCTACTGCTTTCTATAAAACACTACACCTTTCTTTATGACTCACATACAAACTTCTAGAGTTTATGATCAACCATAAAATAGCAATAATCAGTACCCCTGTAAGACTCTATTGGAAATAGAACAATAGGAGCTACCAACTGTGATTGATAACATATGTACAGTATGTCCTAAGTTAGAAATTAAGTTTTATAATTATAAATGTGAAATCTACTATGTAAGTCTCAAACATGCATTTTCTTTAGTTTTTATATGTAACTAATACTGAAATATTTTAAAACAATTTCTTCTACACTTTTTTTAACTTATATTTAAACTTGTTACTTAATTTTTGACACCTAAATAGCAAATTAAAAGCATTATTGGCAAATAAAAATCCTATATTTTTTTGCATTTACAAAAACTAAATGGTCAAAATTTATACTTAAGTATACTTATCTGAATAATATACTTTATGCAGGGGGAATCACATAGACACACACACACATACACACAAAAGCCTCAACCATACATTAAAATTTGGCAAGAAGGTTTGAAACTATTAAAGCTACAATTTTTAACTTAACAGTACCTTGTACAGGTAATTTGCCTTTATACAAAATTTTGGACAATCTGTAACGTAAGGTGTATATGAAAGGAGGGATTTTTATTAGTAACCACTTAATGTTTGGTAACATTGATTTTGGATATTTTGTCATTTTTATAAATAACCACTTTTAAGGCTGGTAACATTGATTTTGTCACCTCCTGGTCAATTGATAGAGAAAGATAGAGTAGTACGACTGACAGTAGTGATAGTGAGTGTTCTTTGTAAACAATAAGTGGTTCTATTAGTTGCCATAGAGATGAGGTCTCAGTCGGCTTGGACAATATATGGCACAAGAAAAAGGTATGTGAATCCCTATTATTGTAATTATGTAAATTTAGAAGAAAAAGAAACAGTACATAATCTATGTGAATAATAAGTTACAATAATAACAATATTATCCACTATACTCATATATTATAGATGGCAAAAAGAAATATAAACAATGGAAGATATGAGGGTCCAAATAAACAATGTCTGTTCACAGGAATTATTATTGACCAACAATACATTCCTGTAAGCCTAAGGTTTAAGAAACAAAATGGTTTAAGCTTAAATCCAAGTATTTAAATGTTCTTGTATTTCATTTGGTCATATAAATAATCTAATAGCTAATATATATGTTCTTAATAATGTACTCTTGGATTAAGTTACTGAGATTAGAGATTTGGGTGTTTTATTGCATTGTGCATTGACATTTGTAAGCCATTTTCTTAAAATTAAGGAAACAGAATTTCATAATCTTAGTTTTATTTATCGTAACAGTCATGATCTCTCATCTATTGTATTCAAATTATTGTTCTGTTGTCTTGTACGTCTCAACTTCACATTGCTGCACTGAAGAACCATAGGTTGAGAGCTATGTTATTTTTGTTTAAAATTCTAAACAATGTTAATAATTATCCCCCATTATCCACTGCACTCTTTTATATTCCTTTCCATAGGACTTATTATTTCCTCGTCATTTTCCCTTGTAGAGAATGATCAGCTCTTACAATGAGCTATATTGGATCCATTCTATCCAAACATTATCGTTTTCAAAAGGCAACTTAAGAGTAAATTAATTAAAATATATGATATTCTTTTACATCATGTGATTTGATATACTTTTTGTTCCTCTTAGTTATTGTTTTAGTGCTTATTGTACATAATCTTTACTTTTTACTATTTTTTGTATTTTATTGTAAATGGTGCTAACATTGAAATAAATAATAAATAAATAAACATCAATTAGCCAATTTACCTTCTGAAGTGTAGACAACTCAGCATCTGCATCCTGGGACTCTCCAGCAGCTATGGCTTCTTCCTCTTCTAGTGTCCTCTCATCATCAAAATCATTTACTAGCATATCAATAGATGGATCAAATAATTTATCTTTGGGAGGAGAGTTGTTGTCTTTTCCATCTTTATTGGGGGAGATAAATTGTTCCATGTTAATTAATAAAAACCATAACTCACTTTGATGTAATTCACAAACTGTTTACACAATTCACTAATTCAATGTTGTCAGTAGTAGCACAAGATGTTGCCTCAACAGCAATGCTAGAATATATGAGCCAATTGGAGTCACAGTAGCTTAAGTTCAAATTTTCCATTAAAAAAGGGTTGAGACCATTTTTATATTTAGTTAGTAAATTAAGAATGAGGAAACTTCCTCACATGTTCTCTGGAAGTGCTCAGAACTGGAGGGGAAGGAGTTACTGTTAAAAAAGAGGCTTCCTAAGAGGCCACAAAGGTTACTAAGGGATTATAGCTTCGGAATGGCAGGAAGGGCTCAGATTTGGAGCCCCTACTGATTACAGCAGATATGAGGGCTCAGAACAGCCTAGTCCCGGAAATGCTAAAGACTAGGTACTTATGGGCCTAGTCCATTGATAGGTGGACCTGCCTTAGGAGGTTAGGTATCTAAAGGGCTCGTAAATGTGCCCTACCCTAATCTTCCATAACCATAACCAAATGAAGTATATAAAACAAAATTTCCTTTATTCCAGTACAATATATTTAGAAATATATATATATATATATATATATATATATATATATATATATTATATATATATATATATATATATACATATAATGTATATCAAATATAACATAAACCCTCGATGCAAAAAGATTTACTGCACTTAAAATTGACATTGATATTTTGCTGAATTGTATCTATCATGATTATAAATAGACACTCTCCCTCTCCAATGGTGCTACAGCCTAAATCGAGCCTTGGCCATAAATAGACACTACTATATTAGAAAACTTCCAAAAGAAATTGTGTCAATAAAATGAAAAACACTACCTTCTACATTCACAGGTAAAAATAAAATATTTGAAAAGTCAAAAAAGCAAAGACACTTTGAATGAATACATGAAACAGGTCATCTTACAGGAATATTTTGCCCTAATATAGAAATGTTATAAAAATTATTTTACCCCTATGATTATCCACATAAGGCAGATATATCTTAAACCTAAGTTTGTAATTTAGGTAATGGAATCAACACATAAACAAATAGAACATAACCGGAGTATAAGAGGACAAGTTTCATACATGTTTTATTAAAAAATGTAACTAAAACAAAACTTTTAAATAATTGATTTTAGTTAATTGCTGTTTTGCAGCTTATGACACAAAATATATAGATTCTAGAGACAAACTGAACTTACACTACTTAATTTCCAATGGGCTCTATTTACTATGCTCTTTTAACAAGCAAAACACAAGGTTAGTGAGGTTAGGGAGGATTAAGAAATAGGCGCGCATATTATTTATACACTATGATACTTGTTGATAGCTGAATATAATAACACAAACTAACAATATCCCGTGTTTAATTTTTAACGCGACAAAAATACGCGGAACTTGGTACAAACCCCAAGTTGTTTAAAACTGTTCTCAAAACTTATTTGCCAAAGCTGACAGACAGGTATACAAGCACGAACGAGCTTAATCAACTGCAGTTTGCGCATGATATCTACAAATTTCACTACAACATTGATCAATCATTTCTACAATAGGTTTTAATACGCACAATATTAAAAAAATAAAAACAATTAACTTTGCGCAAGCAAAAACTGTTTTGCGTTAATTACTATGTAATGTCAAATGTCACTTCTTAAATCTGTCATTATTGTTATAAATCGCGGCAAAAATTTAAATTCGTGATTATACTGAATCGATCACTAATAGCTTCAGAAATAGCAATAAAAGAAATATATGAAACACAAGAAAGTTAAAATTTCAAAAAAAGGATAAAAAATAAACTCAACAAACTTCTTGATACCGCAAAAGTGTTCAAAACGACTAATAACGTAATAAGGGGTACACGTAGTAAAATTAAGGACCCTAGAGGGCAGAGTTTAAACTAGAGAAATGTTCGCTGAAATTAATTTTTAGAATCATTGATATTCGAAAAATGCTTTAATTGAAAATATACTACTAATACGCAATTCATTGGATCAAATAAACACATATTATGTAACGTTTTAATGAAATTTGGAGACCTATGGTATACTAAATCTACCTATATTCTCTCTAACTGTGTTAATCATAAAAAATGGATCTAAAAAACTATTTCACAAAGCACCTGTGAATTCATTCCAGTCGAGAACTGGAACAATAAATGGAAATGCACACCATTGGACCATGGCAGCCACCCGAGGTATCCAGACGAAAGCAAATAATTATTTCGCGTTTACGACTTGGACATACCCAGTTTTCCCATGAACATTTATTCAAGAAAGAAGAACACCCAATCTGTGATGAGTGAGTTTCACTCATCACAAATCGGAAATAAATAAATCATGGAATTAAAAAACAGCTAGAAAGATCTGGACAAGAAAATATCGGACAAAATATAGATATAATGAATTCCGCCATGGTTACCATGACAGACGAAGTTTTGAAATAAGAAAAAGAGTCAGTAAAGAAAAAGAATTGGATGACCGATAACATACTATTCAGCAAAGAACAGCAGCACATTTTATTCAGCAAAGAAGAAATTGTAAAAATAAAGATGAGATTCGATATAGAGAAATATATCGACAAATAAGATAGGTACAAGGTTAAGCGAGCAAAAAAAGGGCTGGATGGAACAGAGATGTCGTGAGATGGAAGAACTACAAAGAAAACATGACGAGTTTAATGTACACAAAAAACGTAAAGAAATTATCTATACTCAGAGAAAAAGAATTCCTCATCATATTTAACTTCATCATCACTAACAAAAAATATATAGTCAAATTTTCGGTTGCAAGCGATCATAGAATGGTCCGAGCAACTGTAGAAATTAATATAAAGCAAAGAAAGACTGAAGATGATAAAAAGTAAAAAATTCAAACCTTGGATGAGCCCAACGAATGAACTTGACTTTGAAAAATATATCACCAGTAACTTACTCAGAAATACAACAAGAGAAGACGTAAATAACCTAAATGAAGAAATAGTAGATACATTAACATAAGCTCAGGAAAAATTTGGCCCTAAACATGGAAAAGAACAAAAAATTAGTAAAGAAACGAAACAAAAAATGGAAGATCGTATAATGCTGAGAAGTCAAGGAAATGTTGACTCACAAGATATAAACAGCATCAATAAAGAAATCTCTAAAGCCATCAGACGGGATATTATAGAAAATACAACAACGAGAAAATTATAAAAACTATAGAAGACAACAAAAGCATGAAAGCATTGAGGAGAAAAATGGAAAATGGCAAAAAAGAAATCTTCCAACTTGGAAGACAAAAATGGAAATATTATCTCAGATAGACCAAGCATATTACATATAGTGGAAAGTTTCTATGAAACATTATATAAAAGTCAAGTTATTCCAGAGCTCATCGAACAACCAATACAAAAGGTACATAATGTAGGATCGGAGGATATAGGTACCAGATATATCACGAGAGGAAATTCAACATGCCCTCAAAAATATGAAAAATAATAGAGCTCCGGGGGAAGATGGCATTGAGACAATTAAACTAGGAGGTCCACTTTTGATGTCCCGAATCCAAACACTTTTTAATCTATGTCTGCATAGTGAAAACATTCCAAGTAAATGGAAGAATTCGGTTACAATCCTCCTCCACAAAAAAGGGGATAAATTAGATCTCGAAAACTATAGGCCAATTAGTTTGATTAACCACCTATACAAGCTCTTTACTCGAATAATGACAGATTAGAAGCAAAACTCGATTTCTATCAATCAGAAGAACAGGCACGATTTCGAGCGGGACACGGAACAAACGACCATTTGCAATGCCTTAAAACTCTAGTTGAAAAGTCTATCGATTATAACAGACCCCTTGCTCTTATCTGTGTCGACTTTCACAAAGCATTTGACACAGTCGAAACAGTTGCTATCTTAAAAGCACTATCAGAATGCAGAATAGATCACAGGTATGCAAATATTATTCGAAATATATACGAAAATGCGACAACAACCGTTAACCTCCATTGCATGATTGAGAAGATAAAAATTGGCAGGGAGATACCTTGTCGCCAAAACTATTTATAACAGTTATGGAGTACGCATTTAAACGGCTAGAGTGGGAATCAAAGGGTATTAGCATCGATGGAAAGATATCAATCATCTCAGATATGCCGATGATATTGTTCTCATAACAGACAACTTAGGAGAAGCCAGAGTTATGCTACAACATCTACAGCAAGTAACCCAGAAAGTCGGTTTAAAAATAAACTATGGAATAACAAAAATGATGACCAATCTCGTCACCAATGAGCTAATAGAAATCGAAAAGTCGCTCATAGAACTTGTGGAAAAATATGTGTATTTGGGTCACGAAATAAGGTTAACGCGAGATAACCAAACATGCGCGCTACTCAGAAGAATAAGTCTGGGTTGGGCTGCATTCGGAAAAATGAGAGACGTATTTAAAACAAATATACCAATCCATTTAAAAAGAAAAGCTTTTAACCAGTGCGTTCTACCAGTCCTCACATATGGAGCGGAAACCTTAACTCTCACAAAAACATCAGCCGAAAAATTGAGAAGGACACAACGAAAGATGAAGAGATCAATGCTTGGAATAAGCTTAATAGAATAAGAAACGAGGAAGTTCGTAGACGAACCGGAGTGGAAGACATTATCGAACATATTACAAGGCAAAAATGGAGATGGGCAGGACATGTTGGCGAGATGGACCAACGCGATGGACTGGCGACCTCAAAAGAATCGTGACCAATTGGATAGCAGAGGCGCAGAACAGAAGCAGATGGAAAAGTCTAGAGGAGGCCTATGCTCAACAATGGACAACTCAGGGCTGATTGATGATGATGATGATGATAAT